CCTGTGAAGCCATCTGGTCCTGGTCCTTTGTTTGTTGGAAGATTTTTAATCACAGTTTCAATTTCAGTACTTGCGATTGGTGTGTTTATATTTTCTATTTCTTCCTGTTTCAATCTTGGAAGTTGTGCTTTTCTAACAATTTTTTCATTTCTTCCAGGTTGTCCATTTTATTGGTATATAGTTGCTTGTAGTAATCTCTCATGATCCTTTGTATTTCTGCAGTGTCAGTGGGTACTTCTCCTTTTTCATTTCTAATTCTGTTGATTTGAGTCTTCTCCCTTTTTTTCTTGATGGATCTGGCTAATTGTTTATCCATTTTGCTTATCTTCTCAAAGAACCAGCTTTCAGTTTTATTGATCTTTGCTATTGTTTCTTTCATTTCTTTTTCATTTATTTCTGATCGGATATTTATGATTTCTTTCCTTCTGCTAACTTGCGGTTTTTTGTTCTTTTTCTATAATTGCTTTAGATATAAGGTTAGGTTGTTTATTTGAGATGTTTCTTGTTTCTTGAGGTAGGATTGTATTGTTATAAGTTTCCCTCTTACAACTGCTTTTGCTGCGTCCTATAGGTTTTGGGTCGTCATGTTTTCACTGTCATTTGTTTCTAGGTATTTTTTGATTTCCTCTTTGATTTCTTCAGTTATCTCTTGGTTATTTATTAGTGCATTGTTTAGCCTCCATTTGTTTGTATCTTTTACAGTTTTTTCCTGAATTTTTTTTTTTAAAGAAGATGTTGGGGGTAGGAGTTTATTAATTTATTTATCTATTTTTGCTGTGTTGGGTCTTCGTTTCTGTGCGAGGGCTTTCTCTAGTTGTGGCAATTGGGGGCCACTCTTCATCGTGGTGCACGGGCCTCTCACTATCGTGGCCTCTCTTGTTGTGTAGCACAGGCTCCAGATGTGCAGGCTCAGTAGTTGTGGCTCAAGGGCCTAGTTGCTCCGTGGCATTTGGGATCTTCCCAGACCAGGGCTCAAACCCGTGTTCCCTGCCTTAGCAGGCAGATTCTCAACCACTGTGCCACCAGGGAAGCCCTTTCCTGAAATTGATATCTAGTCTTATAGCATTGTGTTCAGCAAAGATACTTGATACAATTTCATTTTTTTTATATTTACCAAGGCTTGATTTGTGACCCAAGATATGATCTATCCTGGAGAATGTTCCATGAGCACTTGAGAAGAAATGTATTCTGTTGTTTTGGGAATGAATGTTCTATAACTATCAATTAAGTGCCTCTTGTTTAATGTGTCCTTTAAAGCTTGTGTTTCCTTATTTATTTTCATATTGGATGATCTGTCCAGTGGTGAAAGTGGGGTGTTACAGTCTCCTACTATTATTGTGTTAGTGTCGATTTCCCTTTTATGGCTCTTAGCATTTGCCTTATGTATTGAGGTGCTCCTATGTTGCATAACAATTGTTATTTCTTCTTCTTGGATTGATCCCTTGATCATTATGTAGTGTCCTTCTTTGCCCCTTGTAATAGTCTTTATTTTAGTCTATTTTGTCTGATATGAGAATTTGTACTCCAGCTTTCTTTGATTTCCATTTGCATTGAAAATCTTTTTCCATCCCCTCACTTTCAGTCTGTATGTGTCCCTAGGTCTGAAGTGGGTCTCTTGTAGACAGCATATATATGGGTCTTGTTTTTGTAACCATTCAGCGAGCCTGTGTCTTTTAGTTGGAGCTTTTGTGTGTGTGTGTGTGTGTGGTATGCGGGCCTCTCACTGTTGTGGCCTCTCCCATTGCAGAGCACAGGTTTCGGACGCGCAGGCTCAGCAGCCATGGTTCATGGGCCTAGCTGCTCCGCAGTGTGTGGGATCTTCCTGGACCGGGGCATGAACCTGTATCCCCTGCATCGGCAGGCAGACTCTCAACCACTGTGCCACCAGGGAAGCCCTTAGTTGGAGCATTTAATCCATTTACATTTAAGGTAATTATCAATATGTATGTTCCTATTACCATTTTCTTAATTGCTATGGGCTTCTTTTTGTAGGTCTTTTCCTTCTCTTGTATTTCCTGCCCAGAGAAGTTCCTTTAGCATTTCTTGTAAAGCTGGTTTGGTGGTGCTGAATTCTCTTAGCTTTTGCTTGTCTGTAAAGGTTTAATTTCTCTGTCAAATCTGAATGAGATCCTTGCTGGGTAGAGTAATCTTGGTTGTAGGTTTTTCCCTTTAATCACTTTAAATATATCCTGCCACTCCCTTCTGGATTGCAGAGTTTCTGCTGAAAGATCAGCTGTTAACCTTATGGGGATTCCCTTGTATGTTATTTGTTGCTTTTCCTTTCCTTTAATATTTTTTCTTTGTATTTACTTTTTGATAGTTTGATTAATATGTGTCTTGTTATGTTTCTCCTTTGAGTATCCTGTATGGGACTCTCTGTGCTTCCTGGGCTTGATTGACTGTTACCTTACCCACAAGAGGGAAATTTTCAACTATAATCTCTTCAAATATTTTCTCAGTCCCTTTCTTCTTCTCTTCTTCTGGGACCCACATAATTTGAATGTTAGTGCATTTAATGGCCCCAGAGGTCTCTGAGACTGTCCTCAATTCTTTTCATTCTTTTTTCTGCTCTGCAGTAGTCATTTCCACTCTTTTATCTTCCAAGTCACTTATCTGTTCTTCTGCCACAGTTATTCTGCTATTGATTGCTTCTAGAGAATTTTTAAATTCATTTATTGTGTTTTTCATCACTGCTTGTTTGCTCTTCAGTTTTTTTAGGTCCTTGTTAAATGTTTCTTGTATTTTCTCCATTTTATTTCCAAGATTTTGGATCATCTTTACTATCATTACTCTGGAATCTTTTTCAGGTAGACTGCCTATTTCCTCTTCATTTGTATGGTCTGTGGGTTTTTACTTTGCTCCTTCACCTGCTGCGTATTTCCCTGTCTCCTCATTTTGCTTAAGTTGCTGTGTTTGGGGTATCCTTTTCTCAGGCTGCAGGTTCGTAGTTCCCATTGTTTTTGGTGTCTGCCCCCAGTGGGTAAGTTTGGTTCTGTGGGTTGTGTAGGCTTCCTCATGGAGGGGACAGATGCCTGTGTTTTGGTGGATGAGCCTGGACCTCTTCTTTCTGGTGGGCAGAACTGTGTCCGGTGGTGTGTTTTGGGGTGTCTGTGAACTTATTATGATCTTAGGCAGCCTCTCTGCTAATGGGTGGGATTGTGTTCCTGTCTTGCTAGTTGTTTGGCATGGGGTGTCCAGCACTGGAGCTTGCTGGTCGTTGAGTGGAGCAGGGTCTTCATCTTGAGACAGAGATCTCAGGGAGAGCTCTCACCGATTGATATTACTTGGGGCTGGGAGGTCTCTGGTGGTCTGATGTCCTGAACTTGGCTCTCCCACCTCAGAAGCTCAGGCCTGACACCCAGCCGGAGCACCCAGACCCTGTCAGCCACATGGCTCAGAAGAAAAGGGAGAAAAAATAGAATGAAAGAAAAAACAATAATAAAAGAAAAGAAAAGAAAGTTATTAAAATTAAAAAAATTATTAAAGTAAAACAATTAAAAAGTAATGAAAGAAAAAAGAAGAGAGCAGCCAAAGCAATAAACAAATCCACCAATGATAACAAGCGCTAAAAACTATACTAAGATAAACATAAAAATCAGAAAGTAGTCAGTTGCATAAAGCAAACCCCAAGTCCACACTTGCTCCCAAAATCCACTGCCTCAATTTTGGGATGATTTGTTGTCTATTCAGGTATTCCACAGATGGAGGGTACATCAAGTTGATTGTGGAGATTTAATCTGCTGCTCCTGAGGCTGCACGGAGATATTTCCCTTTCTCTTCTTTGTTCACACAGCTCCTGGGGTTCACCTTTGGATTTGGCCCCATCTCTGCATGTAGGTCGCCCTCTGGCATCTGTTCTTTGCCCAGACAGAAGGAGGTTAAAGGAGCGGGTGATTGGGGGCTCTGGCTCACTCAGGCCAGGGGGAGTGATGGGTACGGAATGCAGGGCAAGCCAGTGGCGGCAGAGGCCAGTGTGACGTTGCAACAGCCTGAGGCATGCCGTGTGTTCTTCTGAGGAAATTCTCCCTGGATCACGGGGCACTGGCAGTGGCAGGCTGCACAGGCTCCTGGAAGGGGAGGTGTGGATAGTGACCTGTTCTTGCACACAGGATTCCTGGTGGCTGCAGCTGCACCCACAGCATTTCATGCCCATCTCTGGTGTCTGCAGTGATAGCCGCGGTTCGCACCTGTCTCTGAAGCTTTTTTGGCGGTTTTCTGAACTTCCTCTCCTCGTGCACCCTGAAACAATGGTCTCTTGACTCTTAGGCAGTTCCAGACTTTTTCCCGGACTCCCTCCTGTTTAGCTGTGGTGCACTAGCCTCCTTCAGGCTGTGTTCACGCAGCCAACCCCAGTCCTCTCCCTGGAATCTGACCTCCGAAGCTGGAGCCTCAGCTCCCAGCCCCCACCAGTCCCAGCGGGTGAGCAGACAAGCTTCTCAGGCTGGTGAGTGCTGGTCGGCACTGATCCTCTGTGCGGGAATCTCTCCGCTGTGCCCTCTGCACCCTGTTGCTGCACTCTCCTCCGTGGCTCCGAAGCTTCCCCGTCACCCACCCCCGTCTCTGCCAGTGAAGGGCCTTCCTACTGTGTGGAAACTTTTCCTCCTTCACAGCTCCCTCCCAGAAGTACAGGTCCCATCCCTATTCTTTTGTTTCTGTTTTTTCTTTTGCCCTACCCAGGTATGTGGGGAGTTTCTTGCCTTTTGCGGAGTCTGAGGTCTTCTGCCAGCGTTCAGTAGGTGTTCTGTAGGAGTTGTTTCACATGTAGATGTATTTTTGATGTATGTGTGGGGAGGAAGGTGATCTCCATGTCTTAATCCTTCGCCATCTTGAATATCCTCTGCACACTTTCTTTTTATTCTAAGCACCCCACTGATTTTTTTACTTTTACAGATAAAGAGAAAGACAAAACTAATGAGATGCCTTATAAATCCTACCCCTTTCAGTAACTTGAAGTTTAATCCCATCAGTTTTACTGCCACTTAGTAAATTAAGAGATCATAAATGGGAAATCAAATAATGCTGCTTTTAATTCCCCAGTTATATAAATAACAACTCTAAATGAAATCAAATTTTAACTACATAGCTTCTTACAGTGACCTAAGTTGGACAGATAAATGGAGATTTTCATCATAAAAACTGCAGTGAATATAAATGTCAAAGTATCCAGTGAACCATTTAAAATTTCATCTTGGCCACCAGTCCAATCTAGGAAGTAGGGTACACCTAGGGTAGGGAAAATCCTCTAACAGTCCACGATTTGCTGAAGAACTTAAACCTCAAATCCCACAGAAACTTTTCCTACAGTCAGAATAGCTGATGAAATTCTGCACAAATTTCTCTGGTTGCAGTGATATTAAAAGCAGCTAAAAACATTTTTAGTAATGAAATGCAATTCAGACAGCACACTCATGCAGGCACATTTTAGGAAAACACAGCATGCAATATAGAGGACAAAAAAAAAACTGCACAAAAGTATATCAGAAGTACAAAGTTTAGAATAAGTTAGAGGAAACATGCTTTGATTTACTCTTTCATCTTCTTCTCTTCTCCTTCTCCTTCTTCTTGTTTTCCTTTTTCTCCTTTTCCTTCTTCTCTTTCTTCTCCTTCTTTTTCATATCCTTCTCCTCTTTCCTCTCACTGTGAAGACATCTGTATAAGCAGGTACAAACTACCACAACAGCAACAACTACAAGAAAACAGGAAACAAATGACATGTGACTCTGAAAATTAATCACCAAGATTCCAAACCAAGCAGAAGAAATAAACATTGGTTACATTTCTGCGGTTAGAAAATGTTATTTTCTATACATATACATTTATATTCCATCTCAACCCTTCAGTATCTAAATCCAATCCCCTGGAATCACTTAAACAGTCCACAATAAGTCAGAGTCTTTGCTTAATTTAGAAAATTACCCAAAGTATATTTGGGAAATAGACTCATATGACTAATAATTTTGAAAAAAACGTGCATCATTTAGGGTTTGTTACTAAGTGGACATGTAGAATATAAAAGAATATACAATCACCAACACAAGGTAGTATATCACAGAAAAGGTCAGGTTTTTTTAGACTGTTCTACTCAATTTCAACCTATAAAAACTACAGCAACTGAAAAGTCATTGAAAAAATAATGTGCATCTCATCTTCATATTACATTTTCATTTAAGTGGTATCGAAGTTTGAGATACTTACTTGCAGTAAGAATAATCAGAGCAATGATTCCTGTATCTGAGAAAAAATGAAAACAGTTTTGAAGATATTAAGCATCTATGGGTCCTAGATAGCAGCTGTATTTTAATTTTGATCAGATCATCTAAAAACTACAGCAAAAATGTTTATCAATCTAGTTTTAGCATGTCTGCTACTGCATCCAAGTCATTTTGATCACAGAACCCTTTTAAACAGATTCCAGGTACAGGATCCACCTTGTGAAACTCTTAACAGGAGCCTCATTTTTCATTGTTTTGTGCTTTAGCTACCACACCAGGTTATTTTGTATAGGTTACTAGTACTGTTAGAATTTACTAGATTAGAGAAAATTATCTACATGTGTCTATATATACTACCACTTACATTTGTTATGGTACCTGCACTAATAAAATAACTATAAATGTCAACTATTACTAATTATTTGTGACACATTGTTTTTTCCCTACCTACAAATGATTGGAACATGATATTTCCATGTAGAACTCTAAGGCCTCATAGTACAGGGTTATTAATAACAAAATAATACCTAAATCCTCAAAGTCATCAAGTGATAGTATTTCATTGCTGGGATTGGGATATCCTAGGAAAAAAAATGGAAATAGGTAAAATGAAAGACTAAATAAATCTTAAAGATCTATAAATTCATTGGTTTTGGTCTTGTGCCTTTTTATAATTCATAATTATAATTTAATTTTCCTTATAAATTATATTAATGTTTCCTAAAAGTTGCATCATAAAATATTATAAATTTATATCCAATGCCATCAACATTCTTCTTCCTGTCCACTGATATTCCTTGCAACTAATTCTGTGGTATAGCAAGCAAACTTATCATTAGTGTATTCCAAAAAATTAGGCTTGAATTCAATATGATTCTACTTAAAAGATAGAGGAGGGCTTAAAAATGATTTAGAAGTTGCTCTGGAGTAGAAAGACTCTTCAGTATTATACAGGCCATTTATAAAATACTCATGGTTAACATCATACTCAATGTTGAAATACTAAAACTTTTTTCCCTTAAGATCAGGAACAACACAGAATTTCTGCATTTGCCACTTCAATTCAATGTAACATTGGAAGTTTGGGTCAGAACCATTACGTAAAAAAGAAGTTAAAAATATCCAGATGGGAAAGAAGAAATAAAATGATCTCTCTTTATAGATGACATGATTTTTTATATAGAAAGCTCTATAAAGATCACACATGTACACACAAACACATACACAACTGTTAGAACTAATACATAAATTCAGCAAAGTTGAAGATACAAAATGAACACACAAAAATCAGTTGTGTTTCTATACACTAACAATGAACAATCCAAAAATGAAATTAAGCAAACAATTCCATTTACAATAGCATTAAAAAGAATAAAATACTCAAATAAACTTAACCAAGGAGATGAAAGACTTGTACATTGAAAACTATAAAAATTGCTGAAAGAAAGTGAAGAAGACATAAATAAACAGAAAGACATCCTGTGGTCATGGACAGGAAGACTTAATATTGTTAAGATGTTAATACTACACAAAACAATTTACAGATTAAATGCACTCTCTATCACCATCTTGAAAATGCATTTTGCAGGAAAAGAAAAATACAACCTATAATTTATATGGAATCTCAAGGGACTAGCAACAGCCAAGACAATCTTGAAAAAGAAGAGCAATGTTGAAAGGGCTCATACTTCCTGATTTCAAAACTTACTAAAAAGCTACAATAATAAAACAGAATCGTACTGGCATAGAGACAGACATACAGACCAATGGTATAGAATATAGGGCCCAGAAATAAACCCTTGCTTATATGGTCAAGTGATTGTTCACAAGGGTGCTAAGAGCATTCAATGGGGAAAGGGCAGTCTTTTCAACAAGTGATTTTTGGAAAACTGGATATCCATAAGCAAAGAATGAAATTTGACACTTATCTTACACCATATACAAAAATTAATTCAAGGGGCTTCCCTGGTGGCACAGTGGTTGAGAGTCTGCCTGCCGATGCAGGGGACACGGGTTCGTGCCCCGGTCCGGGAGGATTCCACATGCCGCGGAGCGGCTGGACCCATGAGCCATGGCCGCTGAGCCTGCACGGGCCGGAGCCTGTGCTCCGCAATGGGAGAGGCCACAACAGTGAGAGGCCCGCGTACCGAAAAAAAAAAAAAAAAATTAATTCAAAATGAATCAAAAACAAAAGACTTAAAACTATAAAACTCTTAGAAGAAAACATAGAGGACAAATTTCATGATGTTGAACTGGCAATGACTTTTTAGATGTGACACCAAAAGCATAGGCAACAAAAGAAAAAATAGATATATTGGACTACATCAAAATTAAAAACGTTTGTGCATCAAAGGACACTATCAACAGAGTAAAAACCAACTCATAGAATAGGCAGAAACATCTGTAAATCATACATCTGATAAGGGATTGATATCCGAAATATATTACGAATTCCTAAAACTCAATAACAACAACAAAAAGCCATTTTACAAATGGGCAAGGGACTTGAATAGACATTTCTCCAAAGAAGATATGCAAATGGTCAAGAAGCACATGAAAAGCTGCTCACCATATCACTAATCACCTCAAAACACTTGGAGAGAAGACAAGTTATTCAACAAATGGTGCTACTTTGCCATTGGATAGGGGTGGGTGGAGTGAAGAGGTACCCAATCTCATTCCACATACCATAATGAATTTCAGATGTACCAAAGATTTGAATCCAAAGAATGCAATTAGGATGCATGGTTGAAATGTTTATATAATTTCAGCTTGAGGAAGTCCTAAAACTTTTATAAGAAAGACACAACACTCATAGCCATTAGGGAAAAGATCGATATATCCAGCTACCTATTAATGTAAAAGTTTTGCACATATAAATGACCACCAAAAGGAGAAGAGTTAAATAAAATATGATGGCATATATTAAAGTCATCATTTAAAAGGATGAGAATAAATCAAAATACAATCCCAATATAAGACATTAAGTGGAAAAATGCTAGTTTCAAAAAAATATGAATGGTATGATGCCATTTTTGTTTAAGAAAATAAACACCAAATTAAATGTATAGCTACATATATAAGGATTTTGATGTACAGAAACAGATACAAAGACACCCTAACAGTGATTAACTAAGGTAATAGGCTAGGAAGGGAGAACTAATCTTTTACTCTGTATACTTCTGTAATGTTTGAAAATTTACCAAAATATATTCATGTATAAAAATATACTCAGGTAACAAAAAGTTATAAAAAGCAACCCATATCTAAAAGTACAGTATAAAATCCTAAAAGAAAACTGACTAGTGAAAACAAAGCAAAAAACTAAACTAAACTAAAATAAAATAAAATAAAAAAAACAACCCTAGGAAAAAAGTTCACTTCACATTAAAAGGGCTTTAATTTATAGTAAGTTCAAATCAACAAAAAAAAAGTTTTAGGAACCTAATAGAAAAATGAACAAAGAACATGAATAAATAAATGTAGACAGAAAACGTTAAGCCTCACTGATAATTAAAGAAATGCAAATTAAAATAAGACATGATTTTACACCCATCACTTTATAAATTTCTTAACTATAAGTAGGATAAAGAGTTACTGAACCTGGATATTTTGCAAGTGGAGTCTTGGTTGGATGAGTAGGCTTGTAACCTGGAAAAATAAAGTTGACTCAATTCACCATCCTTGTCAACACAAAATTATGAATTTAATTTTGGTTTTTAATTTTTTTTTAAGATTATTTCTCAAAATAAATAATACACATACACTCAGAACTTTGCAATTCTACTCCTGGGTTTAACCTAAATATATATTTGTACAAGTGCATAAGGATGTGTATATAAAATGTTCACTACAACTTTGTATTCTATAATGAAAATCCTAGTAGTTAACTAATTATAAATCATAAAATTTATGTATTCTTTTAAAAGATCCAAGTAGTATATTCCATAATTTTTTTCTTTTTCACTAAGGATTTCTTGGACATTTTTTCATATTAGCACATTTAGATCTGACTTAACACCATTATATGTTGCTACTGATCCTTTTGGTATAGTCTTTCTCTAACTGATGATAAAAAATGATTGACAATCCCATAAGGAGAGTTGACTTTTGATTTTAAAAAAAGATCACTGTAGCTTCTTCTCTTCATAGGCTTTTTCTCACAAACAATTCCTATCTTCTTCAAACACTAAACTGTATCAGTGTTTTATAAGTCCTTATGAAATGTTTATGGTCAACTTTCAAAAGAGCATATCAACAAATATAGTATACCACAGTGTATAGGCCCACTAGGACATGGATGGGTCAATGAATATAAATTTCGTATGCAATCTTTATATATCATCCACCAAAAAAACATCTCTTTTCCCACAAAACTTCACAGCACTCACCAAGGTACTGAAGGAGGTTACTGGGTACCAGGTTTACAGGAATTATATAAGGTGTTCTAATTACCATGTTAACATGAATAATCCCCCTCAATCCTTCAAAATATCAGGGCAATAGGAAACAAATTAGATGCCAGTAACTGACATTAGTTTGAGTCATTAGACAACAGGAAACTAGAACCCATAGAAATGATGTTACTTGAGTGAGCAGAGCCACACTAGGACCCTGAATGCAGTCTGCCCAGGTTAATGCTCTTCCCTCTCTTCCTCTTGTCTCTTGCTTCTGCTGCAACTAAAAGGAAGAAGCCAGAGAAAGCAGCCCTGAAATCAGGAATATAATTCCTTCTACCATATCAAAATAGTCTCTCAAGTCTTAAGCAGAGCAGCTAATTAGTAGTCCCTGCCAGAAATCCTCCATTTCATTTCAATAAGTAAGGACTTCTCCTGCCTTTCTGTTGTTATGAAATTTACTTTCTGTTGTCAAATAAAAATGCCCAGTAAAGATACAAATGATATTTGTATGAGGTGGGGAGTGGTAGAAATACTGGTCTTATTCTGGTGACAACAGAAATTTCCCAGTATAAAAAGAACAAAACTGGTTGCAGTCTGGAAAATGAAACATAGTCCTGGACCTGGAAGATACCCTGTGAAGGTGATGCTGTAAGTCATACAAGCTACCTAAGAGCTTTCTAGATGCCAGGCACTGTGCTAAGTGCTTTAAATGGATCCCATTTTGACTTTGTTATCACCCAGTGAGGAAGGCATTAAATCATTTTACATGTAAGTAAATATATTTAAAGTTTACGTAACTTGTCCAAGTTCACACATCTGTTGATATCTGTGGACTATGGCAAATACTTTTAGAATCACTAAGCATAACAACTAAAATGGCTGTAAATATATTCTTCCTCTTTTCATTACTAAAAATGATGAATGAGTGTAAATCACATGAATTTAAAGGATTTTTTTTGTAAAATATAAGCAGGAAGTTACTTAATCTGAATGGCTCAAAATTGGGAGTTTTGTATTGAGAGGAATCAGCACTGAAGAACAAACCACATGGGATTACTACTTTCATATCATTTATATGAATTATGGCTCTCATTCTTGACTTATATAGGTAAAAATTCCCATGCTTCGATTTACTCTGAAAAATCATTCCCATCTATTTTTATACATAAAAATACCAAACAAGAGACATTAATATACCTGTGTTCTTTGCTAACAGAATGTGCTAAGACTCTATAAAAACATACAAAATCACAACAGCAGAATTCTATGTAAGTTCTGTCATACATCTCTCATGGAAATGGATACAAGACAGAGTTAAATATTTATTTTTTCAATTATTCTTGTCAATGTCAAAGAAATAAAAACTAAAAGACAAAATTTAAAAAAAGGAAAGAGACAACATTTGTACCTTTAATACACTTTGGCATCTCAGGCTCCCAAGTATTATTACCACCACAGAACACTAGGTTGCTGCCATTAAGGTAAAAACCCTGGAGGCATTCAAATATCACCACTGCTTGGTAAGAAAATTTTTTTCTATTTCCTGATACCATTATTCCATGTTCGAGTACTGGACGTTCACATTTGACCACTGAAAATTGGAGAAATTCCAGAATTAATAAAAAGCTGCTTTCACACAGGACCAGAAAAACTAGTGCAAAGTAGTAATTTCCAGTGGGAAGAAAAAGCCGAGGAATGAAAGGCAAGATGTTAATTGAAAACAAAAAAAGACTTTATTTGTGCATCTGAATTTCAGGCAAATGGATTTAGAGAAACTTAATAACGTTTTTCCACCTAGAACAGACTGTCATTATACTTTATTGGCTTTCCTACATTTTTTTCCATTAATGACAAGTCTTGAGAAAGTGTGACTACCAGGTACAAATTCAGGGCAAGTTCAAAACTTTTGATACTTTTGATACTCTTTAGCTCTAGGATTTTTTCTAAGGTCATGCTGACACTAATTACAGTACCCTGCTCTTTTAGAAAGGTAGCAAAGACTTTTTTGAGAAGGTAATATTTGAGTTCGATTTTAAAAGTTGAAAAGAAGCTAGCCAGGCAAATGCTCAGCCCTCACTCCAGTGTACTCTGGTGTTTCCCATTCTACTCTACTTCTCCAAAGTAAAATACAGGTCGTGACCCTCTAGATTGACTTCAATATCTGTGAATGTGTTTTGCAGAATTCGGGAAAAAAAAACACTGAAAAACACTGGGCTGAGCAGAGAGTTCAAGAGGATATCTTATGAGATTAAATCTGAGCAATAGATAAGGAGCAGATAATATACAGACTTTTAAACCAGAATAGTGTTCTTCCTCCTTTCCTGTGGATCTGAATTTCCATCAAGTATCACATCATTTCTGTTCAGCCAGGAGAACTTCTTTATCAATTCTTGTGTTCAGGTTGGCTGATGACAAATTCCCCAAACTTTTGTTTATCTGAAACTGGTTTTTATTTCACCTTCAGTTTTTGGAAGGTTTCTCCTTGACAGTGAATTCTAGGTTAAGTGTTTTATTTTTCTTTCAGCACATTAGCAGAGATTATTGTCTTCTCATCTCCACAGTTCCTTAAGAGACATCAGCTGTCATTCTTAACGTGGGTAACGGGGAGATGGGGGTGGGTGGGTGTGTCCTCAATATAATACCTTTTTTCCCTGGCTCCCTTTTCTTTTATTTTTTGTTTTAGTTTTAGTTTTAGTTTCAGTAGTTTTAACATGATGTATTTAGTTTGGTGGAGGTTTCTTGGTAAAATTAAAGTTTTTACTTATCCTGCTAGGGTCACTGAATTTCTTGTACCTGTAGGGTTATTGTTTTGGATCAAATTTGAAATATTTGGGCCCGTGTTTATTCAAATAATTTTCTGTATTCCTCTCCCTCCTCTCTGAAACTTCAATTACATGTATATTTGACTGCTTGCATTGCCACATTTTTAATTTTAATTTCAGCCATTCTAATAGTTGGTTAGTGGTATCTCATTGTGATTTTAAATTACATTCCTGTAATTACTAATGATATTGAGCAACTTTTCGTGTACTTTTTGCCATCTACATATCACATTTGGTGAAATATGTCTATTACTAATTTTTGCTCATTTAAAAAAACTGTTTTCTTATTATTGTGTTTTGAGGGTTCTTCCTATATAATAGATACAAGCAAATTATTAGATACGTACTTTGAAAATATTTTCTCCCCATCTATTGCTTTTTGTTGTTGTTCTCTTAATAATATCTTCTGCAGTCCAGAAATTTTGAGTTTGGAGTATCCAATTTATTATTTTTTTCTTTAAAGCATCATGCTTTATGGGTTGTATTAGAGAAATCTTTGGCTAGGTCACAAATATTTTCTGTGTTTTCTTGTAAAAGTGTTGTAGTTGTAGGTTTCATATGTATGTCTATGCTTCATTTTGAATAAATGTTTCCATATGGTGCTAACATGGGCTGAGGTTCTTTTTTTTTTTATAGCATATGGGTGTTCAATTGTGCTGGTACCATTTGTTGAAAAAATTGTTCCCCACTGAATTGTCTGTATACCTGTGAAAATCAACTGGACATATTTACAAGGGTCTGATCCTGGACTCACTATTTTGTTTATTGCTCTATATATCTATCCTTTCACCACTACCAAACTGTCTTGCTTATATGCCTTATAGTATGCTTTATACTAAGTCTTGACAGCAGGTAGAGTACATCCTCCAGTTCATTTTCAAAAACTGTTTAACTATTCTAGCTCTTTTGTCTTTCCATATAAATTTCAGAATCAGTTTGTCAATTTATACAAAAAGGTTTACTGGGGTTTCTATTGGGATTATGTCGAATTTATAGATCAATTATAATGAATTTACACCTTTGTTATTTTGAGTCTTCCATTTCATGGCCAATGTATATCCCTTTATTTATTAAGGTCTTTAATTTCCTTTATTAGTGTTTAGTGGTTTATACCATCTAAATCTTTCATATATGTTAGTTAGATTTATATGCAAGCATTTTGTGTTTTGGATTTGCAAATAGTTGTTGTAAATAAAACTTTCAGTAATGATTTATTGCTAGTATGCAGACATACGATTGACTTCTGTATGTTGATCTTATATTTTGCAACCTTGCTAAAACATCAGTCTTTGGAATTTTCTACATAGACAATCATGTTATAAATGAATACAGACTATTTTATTTCTTTCATTCCAATGTATGTATGCTTATTTCTTTCTCCTGCCTTATTGCAGTGAGTGGGACCTCCAGTGCAATGCTGAATAGAGTAATGAATGTAGACATACTTCCTTTCTTCCTACCTTGGGGGGAAAGAAAGTAGGTTTTTACTATTAAGCATAATGTTAGTTGTGCGATTTTCGTATGTACCTTTTATCAGGTTGATATAGTTAGTTCCATTCTGTTCCTAGTTTGCTAAGTTTTACCATAAAAAGATGATGAATTCTGTCAATTGCTTTTTTTTGCATCTATTAAGATGATCATATATTTTTTCATTATAGTCTTTTGACATGGTAAATAACACTGATTAATTTTAAAATCTGAACCAATCTTACATTTATGGAATAAATCTTACTTGGCTATAATGTATTCTTATTTTTATATATAGCAGGATTTTTTTTCTTTTTTTTTTTTTTTAATTGGAGTAAAACTGCTTTACAATGTTGTGTTAGTTTCTGCAGTACAATGAAAAGGGACGAAATTGGGTCATTTGTAGAGATGTGGATGGACCTAGAGTCTGTTATACAGAGTGAAGTGAGCCAGAAAGAGAAAAACAAATATCGTATATTTGTTTTTGGAATATGTGGAATCTAGAAAAATGGTACAGATGAACCTATTTGTAGGGCAGGAATAGAGACGTAGACGTATAGCAGGATTTGATTTGTTGATATTTTGTTGAAAAGTTCTATATTCAATAAGGATATTGTTTATAATTTTCTTTCAATGTTTTTGTCTGGTTTTAGTAACAAGTAATGTCCCCATGAAGTGAGTTGAGAAGCATTTCCTCCTCTTATATTTCTTGAACAGTTTGTGTAGAGGTGCTATTATTTATATCTGCAATGTGTGGTAGAATTAATTCCCCAAGGAGGCCATCTGGGCCTCAGTTCTCACTGTGGGAAGGTTTTTAACTACAAATTATATCTCCTTAATAGGTATAAGACTATTTAGGTTACCTATATATTCATGTGAAGATATTTCGGTATTTTTTGTCTTTCAAGGAATTTGTCAATTTTATTTCAGTTGTAAAATTTATAGGCATAAAGATGTAATATTACAACTATCATCATTGTAATATTTTTTAATATCCATTTAAATGTCTGAAGAATAGTGTTGTCCTCTTTTTCATTCTTTTAAAAAAATTATTTTATTTAATTTATTTATTTTGCAGTACGCGGGCGTCTCGCTGTTGTGGAGCACAGGCTCCGGATGCGCAGGCCCAGCGGCCATGGCTCGCAGGCCCAGCGGCCATGACTCACGGTCCCAGCCACTCTGCTGCATGTGGGATCCTCCCGGACCAGGGCACGAACCCGTGTCCCCTGCATCGGCAGGCGGACTCTCAACCACTGTGCCACCAGGGAAGCCCCGAAAAATTTATTTTTTTAATACAACTTTTTTTTTTTTTAAAGGAGATGGTGGGGGTAGGAGTTTATTAATTAATTAATTTATTTTTGCTGTGTTGGGTCTTCGTTTCTGTGCAAGGACTTTCTCTAGTTGTGGCAAGCGGGGGCCACTCTTCATCGCGGTGTGCGGAGGCCTCTCACTATCGCGGCCTCTCTTGTTGCGGAGCACAGTCTCCAGATGCACAGGCTCAGTAGTTGTGGCTCACAGGCCTACTTGCTCCGCGGCATGTGGGATCCTCCCAGACCAGGGCTCGAACCCGTGTCCCCTGCATTAGCAGGAAGATTCTCAACCACTGCGCCACCAGAGAAGCCCCTGATACAACTTTTAAAGGTTACATTCTATTTACAGTTATTACAAAATATTGGCTATATTCCTCGTGTTGTGCAATACATCCTTGTAGCCTATCTTATACCCAATAGTTTGTACCTTCCACGCCCACACTCCCATATTGCCCCTCCTCACTGGTGACCACTAGTTTGCTCTCTATATCTGTGAGTCTGCTTCTTTTTTGTTATATTTACTACTTTGTTGTATTTTTTAGATTCCACATATAAATGATATCATACAGTATTTGTCTTTCTCTGTCTGACTTATTAAATATCTTTTTCTTTCTTGTCAGCCTAGTTATAACTTTATCTATTTTATTGATCTTCCCCAAGAACCAGGGGTTTGTTTCATTGGTTTTCTCTATTATTTTCTCTTCACAATTTCATTGATTTCTCTCTAACTTTATCATCATCTTATGTCTCCTTATTTTGAGTTTGCTCTTCTTTTTTTAGTTTTTTAAGGTGGAAGCTTAGATTGTTGATTTGAGACTTTTATTTTTTTCTAACACAAGTATTTCATGCTATAAATTTCCCTTTAAGCAATGCTTTTGTTGTTATCACACAAATTTTGATATTTTGATGTATTGTGTTTTTCATTTTTACTCAATTCAAAACACTGTCTAACTTCCCTTGTTACTTCATCTTTGACTCATGGGTTAGTAAGGAGTGCCTTTCATAATTTTCAAGTATTTGTGAATTTTCTAGATTAGCCCTGTTTTAATGTCTATGTTTATTCCATTGTGAACAGATAATGCACTTAATGATTTCAATTCTTTGGAATGTGCTAAAAATAATCTTATTGCCTAGAATATGAGCTACCCTAGAGAATGTCCCATGTGAACTTGAAAAGAGTAAATATTATCCTGTTATTCAGTGGTTTTCTTCCAAGAATCAAATCCCCTCTAGCATCTCCTTGCTTTATGTCACTCTCTAGTGCCTTAAATATTGTTTTAAATATATATTTTGTTCAGAGTTTATCATTCTTATCAATGAGAAGCTTAGCTTTTAAAAATTTCTCTACCATTATCTGTAGCCAGAACTCTCAGACATCTTGCAATATAAGAAAAAACTTTATTTTTGAGGCAGGATGTGTTGAGTTTTTCAGTTCTTTCAAGCAAAAATATCCTAATACACACACACACACACACACACACACACACAATTAGTTCACACTGTGTAAATTGTAATGTCAAGAACATCTGGTGTGAGGGGTGGGAAACCTCACAACTAGAAATATTTTCTGTTCGATTTGGCCTAAATTAGATTAGAAGTCAATTTAACCGGAGAAAGAAACATATATGACTGTTTCACTTATAGGTAAAACTATTTACGAAGTGTTCCACAGTATTTACAAATGATGAAGGAAACAAATGGAAACATTATTACCTTTACACAGAGGAGCAGCACTACTCCATTTGCCAGGTCCAGAACAAATAAGTTGTCTCTCTCCAACAAGCGAATATTCATCTGATCCATTTGAAGGATTACAACTATAAGTTACTAATTCATTATATTCAAATATATTCCTGTAGCTATTGGTGTGTTTTCCATGTTTTATTTCTGGAGGTCGTCCACAAAAAATCTCTTAAAAAGGGGTAAAAAGAGAAAATAAAGGTAAAGGGAAGGTGAAGGAGTAAGACAGCATCAGAAAAGTCCTATGAACTACCTTCAGTAAGTTCTTTAACATATGATTTCTAGAAGTTAGTTGTGAATCCTTTATCCATTTAGAGGAGAGTTTCCACGAGAAAATGTGTTATCCCAAATTCAAATCATGTAGAAATAAACTTTTAAGAACCAAACTCATTTTTTTAAATACCTATATAAAGTACCTATATGAAATACCTATATTTATCTATAAGGATATGCTAAGTTTTGTTCTAATCATCATAAGAGATGGAAATTTAATGAGAAAATATGCTTGTGATTAAAAATAAAATTCACTGCTAGCTAAGAAATGCATATTTGTAATTTTAAAACATATCCATTCACTCCATCCATGGTTCACACTAATACCAAGATATGGTCTTATTTCACTGTCATCCTTGTAAGTTTATGGTGAAATTTTCCAGAATCTACAAATTGGGTGATTTTGCCACAGACTGAATCCAGACGGCTTCCTTTAAGCCAGATATTGAAGAGATTTTCAAAAATGTAAAACAATGCCACTATTCCCACTGTTGGTTTTGGAAATTTTTAATTTTTTCATAAAAATATGTTGTATATATTAACATGTATTGACTTTACTGTTCCTAAAAATGATTTAATAATTAACTATTTTAAAAACTTTTGTTTTAATTCCAATATAATGAATACCAATAGACATAACCCACATAAAGAAAAGCTCTTTGGAATCGTTGTTGATTTAACAGCATAAACAGGTCCTGAAGCCAAAAAGTTTGAAAATTCCTAATCTAAATTCTAAAGTGAGAATTTACTTACTTTCACAATGTGGTATCTTATCACTCCAATGCACATTCCCTCCAATACGGTTACAAGTTAGAATGCTTTTTCCTCTTAAGTAATAACTAAATGAAAAAAGAAAAGGTTACTGTTTCTTTAACAGCACATAATACTGAAAATTTTTATATGGTTGTTTTTCTGTACTACAGTAGTTTGAGGGAGAAGTTTCTTAAATGACATGATATAATGAAAGTGCTAACCAAATCTGCAATTTTAATCAAATAGAGCTTCTGCAGGTGGACACACACTGTCCAACAGCAAAATGTCGAAATTACTATCACGCCTGTCAGTGTGGCCTCTTCACCATCTCTGGCAAATGCACCACGCATTCACTTCTATGCTTTTGCTCACACCATTCTGCTCAGCAAGGACTGAGCAGAGAGATCAGGCCCTAGAGCTTGCCTGCCTGGATTCGAGACCCAGCTCCATGAATGACTTGTTATTTAAGCTTTGGAAAGTCTCTTACTGTTCCTCTTGCTCAATTTCCTCATCTATGTAAAAGAGATAATAGTACATACATCATGGGGTTGTTTTGAGAATAAGTTAGCATCTGACACATAGTGAGTACTAGGTAAGTTTTAGTTCTTTTTAATATTCTTTAGATCAGAATATCTTTCCAGGAATAGCTTGGGAATATTACTTAATGAAATCTTCTCTGATGATTTAAATTCACAGTACTCTCTTCTTCTGGATTCTCATTGTAATGATCATAAATAATGGCATGTATTTGGCACTTCTTATTTACTATTTTGATTTAATATATTATGTTAGTATATATTGTGTTTCTAACCAGGCTACAACTTTTTTTGAGAAGAGTCTATGCTTTAAGTTTTTGGTACCTCTCAAAGTACCTAATAGGCTCTCTATATCTATGACAGGATGTTCTAATATTTTTACTTGATCAGTTTAAAAATAATCAGTGAAACTGCTTGTACAAGGTTCAAGTTGACTTTTCCATTAAGCTGTACTCATTTTCTGTATATTAGTGTTTTAGGAGAGGATTTTGGGAAGGTGGTAGAGTTGGAAGCTCTAGGAATCTGTCACCATAACTAGACAAAAACTGCAATGGCAGAATCTGTCTGATGTCACTGTTTTGGAACTCTGGAGTCTGTTGAAGGCTTGCAAGTTCTGGAGGAAAACTCAGACAGGTAAATTGCATTAATTTCAGCCCGTTTCAGCTCTTAGGAAAACAGCAGCAACTTATCCCTACCCTCAGCAGTGTGGCAGGCAACTGTGCGTGTGCTCCTGAAGCAGCTTACACACAGGTTACAGGAGGTACAATAGCCAAAAAGACTGTCTTCCAAGTACCAAGGATCTGTACTCTGATTGCTGACTGCTATTTCTGATCACAGAAAGTGGTGGCAGCCATTGTTGTCACACCTCGCCGACTCTTGCAAGCCCTTTCCTTGTTGGTTGAAGTGACTTACGTGGGATTTAAAGATCCAACAACATTTGCTTCCACCTTCATTTTTCATGTTTCCACTCTCAGAAGCCAGGCACTAAAGACTAGGACATTCAAAAACAACTGCATATGTGGGGAAATTTAGAAAGTGAGTGTGCATGTTCAGGGAAAAAACACAGAAACAGCCTGAGAAGGCCTTCAGTTTACATCTCAGGTGATCCCTGCCACAGAAACATGATACAAAAATCAATAAACAAAAACAATAACAAAAACTGCAATGTCTAGGGAAAGGGGAGAATCTGATTTCCAGGGTGACCACATTATTAGATTCCAATGTCCAATATTCCACAAAAATTCACCAGACATACAAAGAAACAGGAAAGTGTGGTCCATTCAGAATAAAAAAACAAATGAACAGAAACTGTTCCTGAAAAATATCTGATGATAGATATATTAGATAAAGACATCAAAATATCTTAAAGATGCTCAAAGAACTAAAGAAAGACTTGGAGAAAGTCAAGAAAATGATGTGTGAACAAAATGGAAGTATCATAAGGAGCTAGAAAACCTAAAAAGGAACCAAAAAGAAATTGTGGAGCTTAAAAGTACAATACCTGGTATTAAAAATTCAATAGAGGGATTAAAGGCAAATTTGAGCTGCAGAAGGATCAGTGAACATGAATATAGAATGGTGGAAGTTACTGAGTCTGAGGAACAGAAAGGAAAAAGAGTGAAGAAAAGTGAGCAGAGCCTAAAGGACCTGTGTGATATCATCAAGTGGATCAACCTACACAGCGTGGGAGTCTCAGAGGGAGAAGAGAGATAGAAAGGGGCAGAGAGAATATTTAAAAAAAATAATGGTGAGCAACTTTGCAAATTTGATGAAAGACACAAATATAAACATCCAAGAAGCTCAACAACCCCCAGGTAAAATGAACTTAAAGACATCAACACTAAGTCACATAATAACCAAACTTTCAAAAGACAAAGACAGAGTGGCTAAGATGGCAGAGTAGAAGGACCCTAAGCTCACCTCCTCTCACAAGAACACCAAAATCACAACAATCTATAGAGCAATCATCATTGAAAAAGACTGAAACCTACTAGAAAAGATCCCCTACAGCTAAAGACATAAAGATGGAACCACAAGGAGACTGGTAGAAGGGGCAGCCTTGCAATATAATTAAATCCCATACCCCACAGTGGGCACCCCACAAACTGGAGAATAATTATATTACAGAGATTCTCCCACAGGAGTGAATTCTGAGCCCCACGTGAGGCCCCACAGCCCAGGGGTCCAGCACTGGGAAGAGGAACTCCCAGAGCATTTGGCTTTGAAGGCCAGTGGGGCTTGATTGCAGGAGCTCCACAGGATTGGGGAAAATAGAGATTTCACTCTTAAAGGGTGCACAAAAAAGTCTCAAACACACCAAAGGACCAAAGGTAAAAGCAGTAACTTCATAGGAGCCTGGGCCGGAGCTACCTACTCATCTTGGAGGGTCTCCTAGGGAAGTGGAGGCAGCTGTGGCTCACTCTGGGGATATAGACATTGCGGCAGATATATCAGGGGATTCATTTGTGTGAGTTCTCCCAGAGGCTGATACTTTGGCACCAAGACCTGGCCCCACCCAACAGCCTGTAGGCTCCAGTGCTGGGACATCTCAGGCCAAACAACAAACTGGGAGGGGATACACCCCTACCCATGAGCAGACAGGCTGCTTAAAGACTTCCTGAGTCCACAGCCACCTCTAAACACACCCCTAGACATGGCCCTGCCCACCAGAGGACCAAAACCCAGCTCCAACAGTTAGGGGGCAGACACCAGAAGCAAGAAAATACAGTCCTGCAACCTGCAAGCCAAGTCTGCAAATGCAGGCCAGATACTACCCTGGGACCAGCTGGCCCCTGGCCCTTGGGTGATGAGAGGGGAGTGCACTGCTGGGATGCATAGGATGTCTCCTACAGAGGGTCACTTCTCTAAGGCCAAAAAAAAGTAACCAACCTACCACATACATAAAAATACAAATAGCAATTTAGAGAAAATGAAGCAACAGAGGAATATGTTTCAGATGAAGGAACAAGATAAAACCCCAGAAGAACTAAGTGACATGGAGATAGGCAATCTACCCAAGAAAGAGTTCAGAGTAATGATAGTAAAGATAATCAAAGAACTCGGGCAGAGAATGGATGCACGGAATGAAAAATTAGAAGTTTTTAACAAAGAATTAGAAAATATAAAGAACAACCAAACAGAATTAAAGAATACAATAACTGAAATGAAAAATACACTAGAAGGTATCAATAGTAGAGTAAATGAGATGGAGAACTGATTAGTGAGGTGGAAGACAGAGTAGTGGAAATCACTGCCACTGAAGAGAAAAAAAAAATGAAAAGGAATGAGGACAGTTCAAGAGACTTCTGGGACAACATCAAGCATGCTAATATTTGCATTATCAGGGTCCCAGAAGGAGAAGAGAGAGAGAGAAAGGACCTGAGAAAATATTTGAAAAGATAATTGCTGAAAACTTCTCTAACCTGGGGAAGGAAACAGTCACCCAAGTCCAGAAGTGCAGAGAGTCCCATACAGGATTAACCCACAGAGGAATACACCATGACACAGTGTAATCAAAATGATGAAAATTAAAGCTAAAGAGAGAATATTAAAAGCAACAAGGGAAAAGCAACAAGTAACATACAAGAGAACTCCCATAAGGCTATCAACTGATTTTTCAGCAGAAACTCTGCAGGTCAGAAAGGAGTGGCAATGATATACTTAAAGTGATGAAAGACAAAAACCTACAACTAAGAATCCTCTACCCAGCAACGCTCCCATTCAGACTTCATGGAGAAATCAACAGCTTTACAGACAAGCAAAAGCTAAAATAATTCGGTATTACCAAACCAACTTTACAACAAATGATAAAGAACTTCTCTAGGTGGAAAAGGAAAGGCCACAAATAGAAACAAGAAAATTATAAAATGGAAAAGCTCACTGGTAAAGGCAAACTTACAAGAAAGGTAGGAAATCATCCACACACAAAGCTAGTAGGGAGGTTAAAAGATGCAAATAGTAAAAATCATTTGTATCCACAATAAGCAGTTAAGGGCTACACAAAACAATTAGATGTAAAATATAAAATCAAAAACAGTAATTGTCAAAAATCTATAATAGATATACATACAAAAAGAAAAAGGAATCCAAACATAACATTAAAGATAGTCATCACAAGAGTAGAGAATGAAAGAAGGGGAAAGAAAAAGACCTACAAAAACAAAAAACAATTAACAAAATGGCAATAGGAACATACTTATCTATAATTACCTTAAATGTAAATAGACTAAATGCTCCAAGCAAAAGACAGACTGGCTGAATGGTTACAAAAACAAGACTAATATATACACTGCCTACAAGAGACTCACTTCAGATCTGGAGACACATACAGACTGATAGTGAGGAAATGGAAAAAGTATTCCATGCAAATGGAAATCAAAAGAAAGTCAGAGTTGCAATACTTATGTCAGACAAAAATGGACTTTAATAAAGACGGTTACAAGAGACAAAGACACTACATAATGAGCAAAGGATCAGTAGAAGAAGAAAATTATAACAATTGTAAATATATATGCACCCAAAATAGGAGCACCTCAATATATAAGGCAAGGGCTAACAGCCATAAAGCAAAAATTGACAGTAACACAATGATAGTAGGGGACCTTAACACTCCACTTACCACCCATCCTTCTGAAACTATTCCAAAAAACTGCAGAGGAAAGAACTCTTCCAAACTTGTTCTCTGAGGCCACCATCACCCTGATACCAAAACCAGACAAAGATATCACACAAAAAAGAAATTTATAGGTCAATATCACTGATGAAAATAGATGCAAAAATCCTCAGCAAAATACCAGCAAACCAATTCCAAAAATACGTTAAAAGGATCATACATCATGATCTAGTGGGATTTATCACAGGGAGGCAAGGATTTTCAATATTCACAAATCAATCAATGTGATTGATCAATGTGATACAGCATATTAACAAATTGAAGGATAAAAACCATGTGATCCTCTCAACAGATGCAGACAAACTTTTTATAAAATTCAACATCCATTTATGATAAAAACTCTTCAGAAAGTAGGCATAGAGGAAACATAGCTCAACATAATAAAGGCCATATATGACAAACCCACATCATACTCAATGGTGAAAAGCTGAAAGCATTTCCTCTAAGATCTGGAACAGTACAAGGAGGCCCACTCTCACCACTTTTATTCAGCATAGTTTTGGAAGTCCTAGCCACAGGAAGCAGAAAAGAAAAAGAAATAAAGGAATCCAAATTGGAAAAGAAGTAAAACTGTCACTGTTTGCAGATGACATGATGTTATACATAGAAAATCCTAAAGACACTACCAGAAAACTACTAGAGCTCATAAATGAATCTGGTAAAGTTGCTGAATACAAAATTAATATACAGAAATCTGTTTCACTTCTATACACTAACAACGAAAGATGAGAAACAGAAATTAAGGAAACAATCCCATTTACCACTGCATCAAAAAGAATAAAATATCTAGAAATAAACTTACCTAAGGAGGCAAAAGACCTGTACTCTGAAAACTATAAGACACTGATGAAAGAAACTGAAGATGACACAAACAGATGGAGAGATATCCCATGTTCTTGGATTGGGAGAATCAGCATTGTCAAAATGACTATACTACCCAAGGCAATCTACAGATTCAATACAATGGCATTTTTCACAGAACTAGAACAAAATATTTTTAAATTTGTATGGAAACACAAAAGACTCCTATTAGCCAAAACACTCTTGAGAAAGAAGAACGGAGCAGGAGGAATCATGCTCCCTGACTTCAGACTATACAATAAAGCAACAGTCATCAAAACAGTATGGTACTGGCAGAAAAGCCAGACATATAAATCAATGGAGTATGATAGAAAGCCCATAAATAAACCCATACACTGATGGTCAATTAATCTATGACAAAGGAGGCAAGAATAGACAATGGAGAAAAGACAGTCAACAAGTGGTGCTGAGAAAACTGGACAGCTATATGTAAAAAGAATGAAATTAGAACATTCTTTAATACCATATAGAAACGTATACAAAAATAAACTCAAAATGGATTAAAGACCTAAATATAAGACAGTATATTATAATACAGAAGAAAACATAGGCAGAACACTCTTTGACATAAATTGCAGCAATATTTTTTTTGGATACGTCTCCTAGAGTGATGGAGATAAAAACAAAAATAAAAACTGGGACCTAATTAAACTTAAAAGCTTTTGCACAGCAAAGGAAACCATAAACAAAATGAAAAGAAAACCTACAGACTGGGAGAAAATATTTGTAAATGATGCTACCAAGAAGGGATTAATTTCCAATACATACAGCTCATCCAGCTTAATATCAACAACAACAACAACAACATAATCAAAAAATGGGCAAAAGACCTAGGTAGACATTTCTTCAAAGAAGACATAGAAATGGCCAACAGGCACATGAAAAGATGCTCAACATAACTAATTATTAGAGAAATGCAAATCAAAACTACAATGAGATATCACCTCACACCAGTCAGAATGGCCATCATTAAAAAGTCTACAAATGATAAATGCTGGAGAGGGTGTGGAGAAAAAGGAGCCCTCTTACACTGTTGGTGTCATTTCTGTGAGCCCTCCTTCAACTCTGAGAGCTGGCCATTTTTACTAGGGTGCACTGTGTTGTTAAGGATAAATTCACCATGATTACTACAGTTTCAATGCTTCCAATAGGCTTATTACCACATATAATAAGTATATGATTTTGCTTTTCTTCAATTTAAATTCCTTTCTATTAATTACACATCATTTCATTCTCCATAAAAAGCCCAAGAGTTATTTGGCTACAAGTGCAACTTATGACCTAGAAAGAAAAATGAAATCAACTTTAAGGGAATGATTAAGCTGAGAAGCAAAGAAAAATGGAATTCATAACATTTAACTTATTTTCTCTAAGGAGTAACTTACTTACCCCTCATTACAAGAAATGTGAGCTTCTGATTCAAACTCAAAGGTTTTATTTGGGGCATATACTTCACCATGCTTTATTTCTGGATTTGGACATGATTTTCCTAAAAGAAAATTTTCAAATTCATTTTTTCATACCAATTTCAAAACATTTAAATCAAGATCAAAATTCTACACTGCTCTTTTATATTGATGAAATATTATTTTCTTTATTTAATTATTATAAGGGCAAACTTAAAATTCACATTTACTGAGGAACCAATCACCAATAAAAATTCCCTGGAGATTTCTCAAAGCCTGAAAAAATGCATTGCTATCTAAAACCTAGTTTTGCATGAGAAAATCATTATTGTTGCAGTGGAAAATTGACCCTAAAATGTGTAAAAATCTCTACAGAAAGCAAAAAACAACAAACAAAAATGGTTTTGTTTCCTTACTTAAACATGCTTCTTCAATAGGGCTCCATGAGCCATTAGGCTCACAAGTAGATGAGAGGCGATAAGGCCACACATGAAAGTATCCTATGCGACACTCATAGTTTATTCTGTCCCCAGAATAATAATGGCGTTTAATGACACCCTTGAGCTTCATACTCTCCATTACTGGTGGGTCAATACAGGGACCTAGGAATAAAAATAAAAACAGAAAATTAAGGATTTAATCTCTTTCACCAGCCACTTGTGGCCTAGCAGCAAGTAGGCAGTACAGAATAAATGGAAAGTTTCTTAGCAAGATTTTAAGTGATTGTCACATGTTTTTACCCAAGTGATGGTAGTAGCAGAGGATGTGTCTTGTTTACTTTAAATAACATCCTATTAGCTTTTAATTTGTTGAGGAATAAGCTAAATTTTCATTCAAAAGTAAATTAAAGGAGACAAAATCTTTTTGGTATTGACTAAATATATATA